CTGCCTCAACCCTGAAGGCCAAGCTCAGGGCCTCAGGCAGCCTAGCAGGCCCTCGCCGTCTGCCTGTGGTAGTTGGACTGGGAGTATCACCGGTAGAATCTGATGCCCTAGGCTGAGCGGCTCTGATCCCATTGGTGTCCTCCACTTGCAGAAGAGGGTCCCTCATAGGACAACCAGCAGAAGAAGTCCAGCCCCCTTCCAAGTGGCCATCTCTAGAGCCCCTCCAAGAAGCAGGCATGGCCTAGGAGATGTGTCTCCAGGCTTAACAATACTTAGGGACTGTTTGCCAGTTATGCTCGGTTGGGTTTGCGGTGTGGATTAGTTAGAGGAATCCCTTAGGGGTCACGGCAGTTCACAAGTTCACATAGCACTGCAACAACAGTCTCCCAAACCACACAGTGGCCTTGAGCAACAATGACCATTCCTAGTTTAGAGATGAGAGCTCAGACCCGAGAGGTGATTCCCTTGCCCAGAGTAGAAGCGGCATGGTTAAACCCAGTCTTTGGACTTCCAGTTCAAGATACTCTTTTGCTCTGCCACACTGTTTCTCAGAACCTGTGCACAGAGAGAACCCCAGGATGACGCCAGGCAGGAGAGCTCTGAAGAGAGGCCCCAGCAGAGTCTGGGATGGGAGGAGAAGGACAGCCCATCAGGTAGGGGAGGAGTTGCCCATGGAGGTGACATTGGGATGGGCTGGAAGGCACCAGGCCTGTTCAGAGAATAGGGGACTTGCCACTTTGGCTGAAGAGGAGGTGGCTTCAGGGAGGGCGTGAGAGGCTAAAAAGAAGTGGAAGGCGAGGGTTCTCCCATCTGCCAAATCAAAGGAGTGTAATGGAAATTTATTCTAGGGAAACAGTGAAAAGCCACTAAGGGTTATCCGCAGAGTGGGGCAGGACCCTGTGCCAGGGCCATGGGGCAAAAAGACAGGTGGCCTCTGTCCATTCACACTCCCAGTCACTTCATGTTGGCCTCTGACCTCCAACCTCCAGGAGCTGAGCCAGTGGCCAGTGTGGTCCCATGCACATCAGGCCTGTGGAGTCTTTCTTGGTGCTGGGATCCCCTTGCACAAGGTCAATCTCAGGGAACCGTCTAAGAGGAGAAGGAGTCCTCTCAGCTGCAGCTGGTAAAAGAATCACCCCATCCCTCCCCCACACCCTGAGTCTGGCCATCTAACCGCCTGGGGCAAAGGCCCTCTGGGAGAATCTGGGAAAGCAGAGCTTGGGGTCAGGGGCTGGAGGAGGAGGGGACATCACTCCAGAGGCCAAGAGAACCCAAAGGTGCCTGAAGGGTGCTTTTCAGGGCATCTCACACTGGGCAAAAACACTCCCTGCTACAGACTGTTTCCCCCAAAATTCACATCTGATATTAGCCCTGATGTGAGGGTATGTGGAGGTGGAGTCTTTGGGAGGTCATTAGGTTTAGATGGGGTTGTGAGGGGCAGGATCTGACCTGATAGGATTAGTGTTCTTATAATAGGCCGAGACACCAGAGAACTTGCCTGTACTCTTTGCTCTCTCCCCTACAGCCATGCAATATGGGGCCAGTGGGGTGCTGGCTCAATATGAGGACACAGTGGGGTGCTGGCTGTCTGCAAACTAGGAAGACGGCCCTCACCAGAACCCAGCCATGGTTCTGGTGAGGGGGACAGCAGTGCCCATTTCATCCCAGGGCCCCTGGAACCCCTCCACGCTTTAGAGAACTTTCCAGAAGATGAGTGACACATTCTTACGACCACTTGCTATCAAAGCTCTAAGTAGAGGCTGCCTCTATAAAGGGCCAAGAACACTCTTATCTGCTGAGCCAGGCCTGGCTGCCCCCACGCAGGCTTTACCAAAAAGGTACAGTTATGCTGTCTGGCTCTTTGTCATCGAGTAGAGCTGGGGAACATACATCCCAACCCCCAGTTAGCTGTGGCCACACTGAAAACCTAGCCCATTATTACAGGACAGGACAGTCAGAATGAATCATTCTGGGGCAGGCCAAAAGTCTTCAATTAGGGGAATAGCTCAACACATATGTATCAGCTGGTGGGTTAAATGCATCTCTCATGTACAGTTCCTGAGGACAATTCTAACTTATCTGATTATCTCACAAGTTCTCATCTAGACACAACCATATATAAATAACAAAATTCACTATTCATTGCATTGTTGAACATTTACTCATGTAGATGGTTCCTCTGTGCCACTGGTTAGAAATCCTTTTAAATGAGAACATGGGCAACACTTAAAAGTGGCCAAGTCATAATCCAGATGTGGACCTGGGCAGGGGAGAGGAAGGGGCACATGATTCAAAGGAGATGGGGCTGCATTTGTTTAGAAGGGCTCATGAGAATTTCTTAGGGTCCTATAATCATCTTATAGTCCATTCTTGATTATCACAGGAATGAGGTAGACAGAAGAAGGACTCCTCTTATTCTCAGAATAATCTAAAATGATGGAGAATTAAACAAACCAACAAATCCCTTACATCTGGCTTTGGCATGCTGTCAATGTCGATGCAATTCAACATACCCACCCTCTTTCTGCATCCCCTGTGCCCAATCCCTCCCTGAGCTGGCTGCAGAAGCAGTCTGGGAGGCAGCTGGGCAGGGAGCCACCGAAAGCTATAACACGGATAACCCATTTGCTGAGATTCAAGGATCTGTCCCAAACTGGAAATATTTTCTCACAGGCAGCATAGAGAGGCACGCCCAGCTGTGCAGCCAGCTCATCTGCCTAGATGAATGGATGATATAAAAAGGTGGATAAATTAGGTTGTGCCTACAATTGTACCAGTGGTCAGGGAACTTGGCCCTATAACCAGAAAGACCAGCAGGCTGGGGAAGATACATTGTGGTCCTTTTCTTCCATTTCTGATCCCTTCTCTCAAAATGACTATTTAAATTCTTTATCTTGGTCCACTTAGAAACAGAATTGCAGGGCAACAAACACACCAGCATTCTTCAGTGAAGGAGAGAAGGAGGTCTGGGAGCATTTTTTTTTTTTTTAATTAATGGAGACAGGAGTTGGGACCAGCTGCAAGGAAATGTGTACCCAGGACCCATCACTGCCAGCCTTACCATGTGCTGTGAGATCATGGGGATCAGAAAGCAGAGCAAAGCGTTTCTCAGGAGCATCCTCTTCTCCCAGGACTGACTCTGGAATCACACCCAGCAGAGTCTGAACCCACCACTTACTAGCTGGTGACCCCAGGCTCTTTACTTAATCCGAGCTACAATTTTTCCCTCATCTGTCCCCTGAATGCAACAGCATGTGTGCTTAGCCCAGTGCTCAGCACGCAGCCAGCAGTCAGCGAGGCGTCCACATTATGATTATTCATGTGCCATACTAGACGGCTGGGGGTAGAGCAGAGAGAGAGCTGAGGACTAGGGCTCTGTCCAGCTTCAGAATGACAGGGAGGTGGGCTATGGAAACAGCAAAAAGCCACTTCAGGGCATGGGGGAAGGAAGCTTGAGGAGAGGGGTGGAGTAGCCACCAAGGCTCAATGGCTAAGAGATGCCGTCACACACATTCATTCGGGCCCAGCAAAGCCTGGAGACAGGACACACAGGCACATATACATGCCGGTAGCGCACCCACACCCGCACCCACGGAACACCTGTGCAGGTCCCGCTTGTCCTTCAGACACTTACTTGCACACGTCTTCCCATCGCTGCGGAGCACGTGTCCCTCAGGACACTGACAGGCAAAGGATCTGTCCACATTGACGCAGGAGTATTCACAACCATGGTCACTCAGCAGGCAGTAATCCACCCCTGCAAAACCAAAAGCCAGGCAGCCCTTTATCAGTGAGACCTCTGGGCGATGGTGATGGGATCAAGTGACCGTCATGCCCACCCCACCCTCCCTCGAAGGCATGCAGTCCCAGTGGACATCCCCACTATCTCCCGGAGCAGAGCAAGGGGCAGGGGAGGAGTGCCCAAGCACGACCTGTGCCCTCTGCAGTCACATAGGTTTCACTCCTGGTGCAAACCTTCCCCTACGAGAGGAGCGTGCAGGGACTCACGGGAGCAGGTCTTGAGGTCCTCGTTGATGAGGAAGCCTTCTGAGCACTGGCAGACGAAGGACTCCTCCGTGTTCAGACACAGCTGCTCACAGCCATGGTCCTGCTGTGCACAGTGGTCCACTCCTGCATTTCACACACGTGAAAGCATAGAGGAGCCGAGGGGGCAACACCCCACCAGCAACCAAGATTGAAAAACAAAACCGGAGGCATAATGAGCCATGGGGAAGGTGTCATTCTACCCCACGCCCCTGGCCCCTCTAGAAAATCAGCCTGGCTTGTTGGTTTTCTTTCCCTTTTCACCCAGGCTGGAGTGCAGTGGCGAGATCTCAGCTCATTGCAACCTCTGCCTCCTGGGTTCAAGCAATTCTCCTGCCCCAGGCTCCAGAGTCGCTAGCTGGGGTTACAGGTGCCTGACACCACGCCCAGCCTTCTTTCCCGTTTCTTTGTTTAAAGAGTAAAGCATACAACCCCAACGGCTGGGAAATGCTGTCCCTGGTATTGATGATAGCAGTACTCTGCCAGGGCCATGGCGCACAAAATCCACAGCCTCAGGGCACCTCTGAGAGCAGGTGCAATTCCCATTTCACAAAGAGGAAAGTGAAGCTCAGGAAGGTCAAGGTCAAAGCCACACAGCTGATAGAGTAGTGCTTAGAATGCGGGTTCTGGCATCAAACTACCTAGATTCAAATCACACCTCTGCCACTTCCTAGCTATGGATGCTGGGCAGTCCCACGGCCTCTTTGCTATCGTTTCCTGATTTGTGAATGTGGATGTTGACGATTGCTTTCTTATAGGAACAGGGTGAGAATAAGAGGAATTGATTCACGTAAAGCGCTCAGAACAGTAGCTGGCATACGGCAACCACTTAATGAACACATTATTATTATCAAGTAGTGCTAAGAATTAGTTGTAACGTTTCGTTTCTAATTGAAAATGAAAAAGAATTGTCATTCTCAATGAAATCAATTTCGTTTTTTTACCCCCATCATCAGGACATCCGGATTAAAAAAGCAAACCAAAGCCTGGGCCTGCATGTGTGGCCCATCCTGGCATGCGAATGCTGCACAGCTGGTCCTCCGGGCAGCAAGCGCCGAAGGCTAATGAACACACAGCTGTGGTGGACGGCTCCCACTAGCAGCCCTGCAGGCTGCCTCCCCGGTTTCCCTGATGGAGAAAATGCACCTCCAGAGACTGGACAGACACTGGCGGCCTTGTGCAGGACTGCCAAGTGGGCCTCTTGACTCCCACAGAGCCTGGGACCAGTGCCTTCTGGAACATTCCACTAATGGATGTACCTCCTGCGAACACTTGCTGGATCTTGGGAGATACATGCCTGTGTTCACATCCCGATGTTGCCATTTGCTAGTCACAGGACCCTAGGACAGTGACTTAATCTCTTTGTGTCACAGTTTCCTCTTGTGGTTTAAATGGGGACATGAATGTGGGTGCCTAGTAGGGCGGCTGTGAGGATGCAAGGAGTTTATGGATGGAGGGTGCTCAGGGCATTGCCTGCAGAGTGAGTGCCTCAGAAGCGCTTGCTGTTTTTATGGCCTGGGCTCCCTGATCCCTCAGGGAAAGCAGAAGCCCATGGCTTTCTCTAAGAACTGCGAGACAGAAATGGCTTGGTTTGTACTTTGAGTTGACTAGATCCCAGAGAGAAGGGAAGATCCGGATCTCTTGTGGTCCGTCCTTAAAACTCTTCTGGCCCCCGGAAGCATGCTGGGAGGGGCAGTCAGGCCATGTCCCTGGTGATCTGTGTGGGCTCAGTCAGGTCAAGACCACCTGCCCTGGGAAAACTGCCAGGGCCATCAGCAGGCAGACCTAACACTCCAGGAAACAGGACACACACAGATCCATGGTCACCAGGGCATCTCCTGTCGAATGGGAGACCTGCTCCCCGCTGGCCTCTCATGAGGACTCACAGACATGCAGAGGCAACACACAGCAGGCACTGACTTTGGTACCAACTTTCCAGTTCAAAAGCCCTTTGGCCTCCGAGATCAGTCCTTAGAAAGCCTTTACCGAGGCATTTTGTTCTCTCTGGACACTGGAGGGGCCCGCTTTCCTGAGGACTGCCCTGGACCTCTTATTTCATCTGGGAAACTTCCCTGCCAGCCGTGTGGAGCCCAGTGCTCAACAGCTGCATTGTCCTTATTCACAATCTATCTCTGTCTCCAAAGGGGAGCAGATGTGGAGCTTGCTGAGTGGAAAGGCACACAAAGGGCCCCTTCTGCATAGGCCATGTCATGGAGGTGGGGCCCTCTCTCGCATGCCAAGGGCATAGGGTCCATCGCCACACTCAGGCGCTCCCACCCTGCTGGCCAGGACTTGTGGAGACGGTACCTCATAAAAAACCACGGAGCTGCCCAGCTGGCAGAGCCTGCAAGTTCCCATACATTTACATCACCCAGTGGAGCTTTGTTGTGGCTCTGACACAAGAAAATTAAGACAAGCCTTCTCAGAAAATCCCATGTTTCTTGATTCTGCCTTCAGGTCAGCCTCTGTAGCCCATTGCTTTCCAAGGTCTGTCCCCTCCGGCCTCTTGTCCCAGCGTGGCGCCAGGCACTGGCACTCTCACAGGCTCCACAACTGTTCCCCTTGATTGGAAGTTTACCCTGTGTCAGGCACCAGGCTAACGTATCGGAATGGCCCCGATTTCTCCCTATAAAAACCCTGCAGGAACAACATGACTATTAGTTTTGCTTTTTGTCATAGATGGGAAATCAATGCATGGAGAAGTTAAATAAATTGCCCAAGGTCACACACATCTAGTAGGTGGGAGAGGTTGGATTTTAAATTAGGCCTGTCTGACCTAATAAATGCGCTCAACAGCAAATACTAATATTAGTTAACATTTAATGAGTGCTTATGCCTAGCAGCACTGTTCTAAGTATTTTACGCATTTTTTTTTTTTTTTTTTGAGATAAAGTTTTGCTCTTGTTGCCTAGGCTGGAGTGCAATGGTGCAATCTCAGCTGACTGTAACCTCCGTCTCCTAGGTTCAAGCAATTCTCCTGCCTCAGCCTCCCGAGTAGCTGAGATTACAGGTGCCCGCCACCACACCCAGCTAATTTTCTGTATTTTTAGTAGATATGGGGTTTCACCATGTTGGCCAGGCTGGTCTTGAATTCCTGACCTCAGGTGATCCGCCCGCCTCAGCCTCCCAAAGTGCTGGGATTACAGCGTGAGCCACAATGCCCAGCCTATTCCTATTAATTCTTTTAATCCTTGAAACCCAAGTTGGGTAGGCCGATAGTATTAAGTCACATTCTATGGATGATGAACCTGATGGACCATCAGGAAACCACAGGGGCTCCAGAAATGACTGGTTGCTAGTGAGCCCGCCAGCAAGTGTGAGTGGACCCCACCCTCCATCAGCACCCCACCCCTAGGGTACACTCACGGCTGCAGGTTTTGCCGTTGGGGTCCAGAGTGTAGCCACGGCGGCAGCGGCAGTAGTAGCTCTCCTCTGTGTTGATGCACTCGTGCTCACAGCCTGGTTTGTTCAGTGCACAGTAGTTGATCCCTGAGGGGAAGAAGGGCAGACCCTCCTTCAGACTCTGGGCTTCTCCCAGGGCTGACAGCAGCCGCTCCGGGCTTCCACAAACCCCCATGGAGAGGGCTGGTGGGTGCCACCTGCTGAGGTGAGCTGGGACAGATCATTCATTTGTCTGCCAACCAAGTGCCAGGCCTTGAGCTAGATGCAGGGATTTAATGACGACAAAGATGGAGGCCTTGCCTCAAGGGATTCAGGCTCGGTGAGGAGTCAGGCAAGGACAGCAACTGTAAGACAATGCAGAGCACACAGCAGGGGCCTCACTGAGTCCTGGGGTGAGAGGGTCTTCCAAGAAGAGATGAGGCCGACTGGAGGCCCCAGGGAGGAGGAGGAGTTCCATAAGTAAGGGAGCTCCACAGGAAGGAGAATGTGAGGACTCAAGGATAGCAAACACGAACGCCTGAGGGTGAGGGGACAAAAAACACAAGTGCTTGGGGACGAGGGGACTGTGAACATGAACGCCCGGGGGCGAGGGGACCGTGAACGCGAACGCCCCAGGATGAGGGGACAGTGAACACAAATGCCCGGGGATGAGGGCGAGAGGCATGCCTGGGGAGTTGTAAGGAGCTGAGTATGGCTGGAGCATGGGAGAGAGATGAGGCTGGGAGGCAGAGGGAGCTGGCCCACCTGAGCATGGCTGGTCGTGTGGGCTTTGCAAGCCCCAGGATGGATCAGTGAAGGCTCTAAACGGGTGACTGGAGGTGAGGATTTTGGTGGAGGTGACAAAGCCAGAGTTATGTCTTGGAGAAGACTTTGCAGTAGAGGTGGAAAGGCAGGCAAACTACACTAAATCTTCAGGAAACCAGGTGAGCTATAGGATGCAGAGAAAACGGCTCCTGCTCTCCCGGAGCTTGCTTAAAAGAGAGCCTGGCACCTGAAGTACACCTGTGGATTCTCTAGCATTTTCCCTCTTTGATGGCCAAAGAGCAAACCAAGGCGCAGTTGAGCTGAGCTGAACTGAGTCAATGGCCAAAGAGCTGAGAGCTGGGGTGAGGGCCACACTCCCCAGCCTACCTCCTTCCAAGAAAGATGGAAAAACTAAGAAAATCGTTTCTCTCTCAAATTAACCTGATCACTAGGGCTCAAAGCATGTAGAGAGTTCTGTCTACAGTGACATCTGATAGTGACATTGGATGGCATGAGGCAGAATAAACAAAAGGTGATCTTGCAAAATATCCAGTTATTTAGGGAGGCAGGAGTTGGTAGTTTGATGAAGAAGGGTCCAAATGCTTCACCTTTGTTGAGATCACGCTGGCATCCTATCATGGGACTGGAGGAGGCGCATCTCTGATGCTGCCCCAGACTATTGCAATTCTGTCCTATGGTAAGGTCACTCTATCCATGCTGTGTTTCTGCCAGCAGATGGAAACTGTCGTAACCAGCAAACAAGCAATTCCTTTCCTGGTAGAAAATGCTAAAGCCGTAAGACCCCATACATAGCAGGCTCCAGGGGAGACGGAGAACTGGAAAAGGACACAAAATGAGCTTGTGGAGAGCCTTTATGAGACTGGCGTTGCGGGAAAAGGTCACCACCGACTTCATTGGATGGGCTGGATCAGTTTAACTGCACAGCATTGTTCTTTCTCTGGGGATGTGGCAGACACTGTTGGTTGTCTTGCCAATAACCATTACCCCATGACCCCCAAGCATGAGTCATGGCTGGTCTGAGCCAGCGTGGCAACCATGTTCTTCTTTGTCAGTTATTGGTCAAGGGGTGAGAATATGCCCTAGTTCTGACCAATGAAACAAAAGAAGTTTACTGGGGGCCCTCAAGAAAATTTTTTCTTCCTGAAAAGACAAAGGTGGCCAGGAGCAATGGCTCGTGCCTATAATCCCAGCACATTGGAAAGCCAAGGTGGGCAGATTACTTGAGGCCAGGAGTTCGAGACCAGCCTGGCTAACATGGTGAAACCCCACCTCTACTAAAAACAAACAAAAACAAAATTAGCTGGGCATGGGGGCACGCGCCTGCAATCCCGCTACTTGGGAGGCTGAGGCACAAGAATCGCTTGATCCCAGGAGGCAGAGGCTGCTATGAGTCGAGATTGTGCCACTGCACTCCAGCCTGAGACTCTGTCTCAAAAAAAAAAAAAAAAAAAAAAAAGATGTATGAAGAGAAACGCTTTTCTAGGTCCTCTGTCCTTTCTGCCTTTGAGTCTACTAGTGTGAGGATATGATGCTGGGAGCTGCAGCAACCATCTTGTAACCAAGAGGTGACAAGGATGAAGATGAAAATGCAACATGCTTTGCCAGAATAGAAAGAAAGAGTCTGGATTCTTGATAACATCGCTGAGTCACTGAGCCATCCAAAGGACCAACCACCTTTGGCCTTGTTAGGTACAAAATAAATGTCCTTAAGACACCATTAATTGGATTTCCTGTTCTGTGTGAACAAAAAACACTGTAACTGATACAGGGAAAATGATCTGAAACCACAAAGTAATGAATACATTTTATTCTTACCATGTATCTGCCCAAAAGTTATTTGACGAAGTTCACATCCACAAATCACTTGAAGATATGACACGTTACCCTCTTGCCTCAGTGGCTCCTCGCTGCACTGGCTAACCTCTATCTTCCTTCACAGTCAGCTCAGCGTCATTTGGTCATCCTTTGTGACCTCCCAAATGAAGTCAGTTCTTTCTACAGGACCTCTCTTTCATAGCATTCATCACAATGGTTACATAGTTATTCATCACAATGGTAGTATATTTTGTATCTGTGATGGTTCAAAGTCTGTTTCTTTCACTAGACTGAGTTTCACAAGCAGGGACCATGCCATCTTTATTTTTCTCACTATTAGTGGCAATTTGATAGTAACTTTAGTAATGATAATCATAGCTGCTGCCATTTGTTAAACACCTGCTAAATGCCAGATGCTGTGCCAACCACTTTACAAACATAACTTCATTTGACCCTGCAAGATATGTGTGATTATTATCCATATTCCAAAGCTGAGAAATTGAGGTATAGTGAGGTTAATAACTTGATCAAGACCCACTGCTAGTAAAAATGGAGATGTGAGTGGGACCCAGACCTGAGGGACCTCTCAAAGGGTCTGTTAAAGGATCCGGCTGGACACGGTGGCTCATGCCTGTAATCCCAGCACTTTGGGAGGCCAAGGTATGGATCACTTGAGGTCAGGAGTTCCAGACCTGCCTGGCCAACATGGTGAAATCCCGCCTCTATTAACAATACAAAAATCAGTCAGGTATGGTGGTACACATCTGTAGTCCCAGCTACTCAGGAAGCAGAGGTGAGAGGATCACTTGAACCCAGGAGATGGAGGTTGCAGTGAGCCAAGATCACGCCATTGTACTCCAGCCTGGGTGACAGAGCGAGATGCCACCTTAAAAAAAAAATTAAAAAAAAAAAAAATAATCTGTGAGGTGCCCTCCCAGGTGACTGGTGGCTGGAGCTTGCTTCATGCCCAGAGTATGAGCAGAATGGCTGCAGACAGAGTGCATGGGGAGAAGGCTACAACACGCACGGATGGCCTAGAAGAAGAGACATCACCTTGCTGTGTCACTAACCCTTGGTGCTCTCTCTCTAGAACCCACTCCCATGTGAGGAGAGACAGGATATTGTTAGCTGTGTAAAGTTTCCATTCACCTACCTGACTCAGCAGCAGCCTCACCTGTGCAGGCCATAACTGAGTGCCAGGAAACAAGCTAAGAGCTTCGATGGAGAAAAATGAGATGAAACACCAGCCACAGACAGACAGACAAACACAGAACATGAAGGCCCGCAGTCTGGGGCCTGTAGGAATCACTCCATTACACCATCAGGGAAAGGGGAAATGATCTTTAGTCAACTCTCTCTTTAAAACCCAGCATTCAGCCACTATGGAAAACAGCATGGCGGTTCCTCAAAAAATTAAATCTAGAATTAACCATATGATCTAGCAATTCCACTTCTGGGTATACACATCCAAGTTCATAGCTGTATTAATAACAAAAGCCAACAGGTGGAAGCAACCCCGGGGTCTGTCACAGGATGAGTGGATAAACAAAGGACGATGTATAGATACAACGGAATCTTATTCAGCCTTAAAAAGGAAGGAAATTCTGACACGTCCTATAACTGAATGAACCTTGAAGACATTATGTCAAGCTATATAAGCTGGTTACAAAAGGACAAACATTCTATGATTCCACTTATATGATGCACCTAGAATAGTCAAATTCATAGACAAAAAGTAGATGGGTGGCTGCCAGGAGATGGAGGAGGGGGAGCTGGGGAATTACTGTTTAATGGGTATAGAGTTTTAGTTTGGGATGATGAAGA